AAGGCTGAGACAGAAGGATCACCTGAGCCCGGCAGGTCGAGGCTGCGGTGGCCATGAGCGCGCCGCTACACTCCAGCCTGGGCGACAGAGTGAGACTCCGACTCAAAAAAAGGGGGACAGGCAGGAGGATGGAGGGGTTCTGGAACCCCAGCAGACCTTGACTCACCGGCTTCTTCACCAGAACCCCTGGAGGGGCCGGTGCTTTGGCGACTCCCAGATGACCCCCCAGGGACCCCTGCCGTGGCGTGGGAGGAGGTACCAAGGCGCCAGCTCCGGGGCCACCTCACCCACTACACCTTGTGTGCTCGGAGCGGGACCAGGACCCCTGTCTGCATGAACGGTGAGCTTCCCCGCCTTGCCGGATCCTCCCTGTCCCCAAGACCCACCCATGGGTCGGCTCCCTTAGGCAGCCTCCCAGCTCCAGGCCCTACATGATGTCATCAGTTCCCTCACGCTGTCAGTGTAATGGACTGTCATTCAGCCATTAAAATTGAAGACTCTAATCCATATTCATTGACATTGAAAGATGCCTGTCATATTTCATTAAGTGAAAAAGATTAAAGGCTCACAGAACTCTGTGGTATGGCTCCATTTTGGTAAAGCAAACCCCATACTGAGCAAACCACAGGCACCGATATCAAAAGAAACTTCCCATAATGTCAACAGAGGTAGGATTCTGATGATTTTTACTTCTTTTTTGTACCCTTGGATACAGGCTACAATTTTAGACTGTGCACACATGCCTTTGAAAGCAAATCTTGTGCTAGGCATGGTGGCTCATGCCTGTCATCCCAGCACTTTGGGACGCCAAGGCTGGAGGATCATTTGAGCCCAGGAGTTCGAGACCAGCCTGGGCAACATACCAAGACCTTGTCTTTACCAAAAAAAGTTTAAAAAATTAGCCAGGCATAGTGGCACACGCCTGTAGTCCCAGCTACTCAAGAGGCTGAGGCAGGAGGATCGCTTGAGCTCAGGAGATGTGAGACTTCAGTGAGCTATGATTGTGCCACTGCACTCCAGCTTGGGGGACAGAGTGAGACTCCTCCTCAAAAATAAATTAATTAAATTTTAAAAGTACATTAAAGAAAAGAAAAAGAACTGAAGGCTAGACTTGGTGGCTCAGCCTGTCATCCCAGCGCTTTGGGAGGCCAAGGCAAGTAGATTGCCTGAGCCCGCAGGTTCGAGACCTGCCTGGGCAACTTGGCGAGACCTCATCTCTACCATAAATCAAAAAACTAGCCGGGTGTGGTAGTATGTGCCTGTAGTACTAGCTAGTTAGAAGGCTGAGGCGGAAGGATCGCCAGAGCCCAGCAGGTTGACCCTGGGGTGGCCATGAGCGTGCCACTGCACTCCAGCCTGGGCAATGGAGTGAGACTCCAACTCAAAAAAAAAAAAAGAAAAGAAAAGAATTGGAATAAGACATAAACAAAGAGTTCTGGGAGGTCCAACAGTCTTACCCATGATTGGGGTGACCCCTTCACCAAGTTCTGTGTAGGTGATGGCTAGGATGCATGTGCCAGGCACTGACACAGGTGCTGGGAATGTGGCCCTCCCAGAGCTGACTTTCTGGAGGGGGACCCACAGGCATAGACAAACTAAATAATGTCTAAGCGCCGGGCTTGGTGGCTCAGCCTGTCATCCCGTGCCTTTGGGAGGCTGAGGTGAGTGGATTGCCTGAGCCCGCAGGTTCGAGACCCGCCTGGGCAGCGAGACCTCATCTCTACAACAAATCAAAAAATCAGCCGGGCATGGTAGCGCACACCTGTAATTCCGGCTACTCGGAAGGCTGAGGCGGAAGGATCGCCGGAGCCCAGCAGGTCGAGGCTGCAATGGCCGGGAGCGGCCACTGCACTCCAGTCTGGGCGACAGAGGGAGACTCCGACTTAGAAAAAAAAAAAATAAATAAATAATGTCTAAGCATTATTTAGACATAGCCAGGATGCGTCCGATGGTGACCAGCGTTGAGTAGGGAGTGAAGCAGGGAAGGTAGGTGGTGAGGTGGGCCATGTGGATATCTGGGGAGAGCAGGAAGGGCACGTACAAAGGCCCTGAGGCAGGCACTTGCCCCCTCCTCAACTCTTTGCTTATTTTCTTCAGTGAGTGGCAGCACCCGGAATGTCACCCTGCCTGACCTTCACTGGGGTCCCTGTGAGCTGTGGGTGATGGCGTCCACCATCGTAGGACGGGGCCCACCCGGTCCCAGCCTCCGGCTGCACCTTCCAGGTAGGGGAGCCAGGACGAGGCTGCACAGAAAGAAGTCTGCTCTGCTGGGGAGGGGTGGCATCTGGGTTATTCCTTGGAGGCTGGACATGGTGGCTCACACCTGTAAACCCAACACTTTGGGAGGCCGGGATGGGAGGATTCCTTGAGACTAGGAGCTCAAGACCAGCCTGGGCAACATAGCGAGACCTCATCTCTACCAAAAACAAAACATTAGCTGAGTATGATGGGGAGGCTGAGGCAGGGGGATCACCTGAGCCCAAGAGTTCAAGGCTGCAGTGAACTATGATCATGCCACTCCAGCCTGGGCAACAGAGCAAGACCCTGTCTAAAAATAAAATAAAAAATAAGACTTACTTGCGCTTCAGTGGGTGAACAACATTTTGACTGGAAGGGGGTTATTATCTGCTCTATTCAGTTGTGGATTAACAGGCAATGTGTGTTTCTTTTTTTTTATTTATGTTTTTTGAGTTGAGGGTTTCACTGTGTGGCCCAGACTGCAGTGCAGTGGCCCGATCACAGCTCATTGTAGCTTCGACCTCGGGCTCAGGAGATCCTCCCGCCTCAGCCTCCCAAGTAGCTGGAACTACAGGCATGCACCACCACACCTGGCTAATTTTAAAAATTTTTGTATAGCGATGAGGTCTCGCTATGTTGCCCGTGCTGGTTTTGAACCCCAGGGCTCAAGGATCCTCTGGTCTCAGCCTCCCAAAGTGCTGGGATGACAGGCATGTGCCTGGCCAGCTGCGATGTGTTTCTAACCTTGAAGTTCAGCTCTAGTCGTCAGCCCCACCCACCCTAATTCCCCCACTTTAGCCTCTACCACTCATAAGCCCCGTCCCTTTATCAAAACTAGCCTGCACGGTGGCGCACGCCTGTGGTCCCAGCTACTCGGGAGGCTGAGGCGGGAGGTTCCTTGACCCAAGTCCCATGCCATCCATGAACCCTGCCCCCACTCCCTGGTACCCAGAAGATCTCTCTTCTTCGCCCCGTCAGATAACACCCTGCGGTGGAAAGTTCTGCCTGGTATCCTCTTCCTGTGGGGCTTGCTCCTGATGTGCTGCGGCCTGAGCCTGGCCACCTCCAGAAGGTGAGGCTGTCAGATGCTTGGGGCTCTGCCCGGGTGGGGCCGGCTGGGGGATATCAGCCGAGCTTCGGAGGGGGGGAAGGGAGGCCTCTGGGCTCAGAGATGCTCACGGCCCCTGCAAGCTGAGCATGGACACCTGCCCCCCTGGATCCCTGCCCTGAGTCTGCCCTGCCCGCAGGTGCCTTCACCTGTGGCACAAGGTGTTGCCCCGCTGGGTCTGGGAGAAGGTTCCGAATCCCGCCAACAGCAAGTCCAGCCAGCCCCACATGGAGGTGAGCCAAAGGCTGGCTCGCGGGAGGCCTCTGGGGCCTCAGGGGATCCTGGGATGCTGAGAATGGGCCAGGAGGAAGGGTGGGATGGGGTGGGGAGAGGAGGGGAGGAGAGGTGGCAGGATGGGGGAGGGGCAGGGGGGCGCAGGACTCCAGCCTGGTCCCTTCCCAGGAGGTGCCACAGGCCCAGCCCCTCGGGGACCTGCCCATCCTGGAAGTGGAGGAGATAGAACCGCCGCCAGCCGCAGCCCCCCCGGCCTCCACCCCCCTGGACTCTGGGTATGAGAAACACTTTCTGCCCACCCCTGAGGAGCTGGGCCTCCTGGGCCACCCCCCCGGCCCCAGGTTCTGGCCTGAACCTCACCGTGGGCTGCGAGCCAGGCCAGAGGGGTGCTCATGCAAGCTGCACCCTGGGCCCGGATTAGCCCTCTTGACAGACGAAGACGCCAAGGACCAGTCGGGCTAGGTCACCTGCCCGAGGACACCCCGCCAGGAAGGGCTGGGCTTGCAGGGCCTCCAGAGAGGAGGGCCTGGACCCAGTGAGGAGGACATGGACAGATGAGGGAGCCAAGGAAGATATATGACATTAGAGTGGACGCTGTCTCCCCAGAGCTGTCCTGCTGCTGTAACAGAACATTTGGAGATGGGTGTGGTGGGGCACACCTGGAGTCCCAGCTACCTGGGAGGCCAAGGCAGGAGGATAGCTTGAATCCAGGAGTTCAGGAACAGCCTGGGCAACATAGCAAGAGCTCATCTCTACAAAAGAAGAAAAAAAATTAGCCCGGTGTGGTGGCACACCCCTACAGTCCCAACTTCCCAGGAGGCTGAGGCAGGAAGACCCCTTGAGCCTAGGAGTTTGAGTCCAATGTGAGCAACATACCAAGACCCCATAGTTAAAAAAAATTTTTTTTAATTGCATTTGGGCATCACCCCAGCCTCCTTTGCAGCTAGGTACAGCATGGTACAGAGTTCTTGGCAACCGAACATGGAAAGAAGTGACATGTGCCAGTACAGGGCCTGGGTGGGCCTTTAAGACACTGGGTGGGGGGGGCCACACATGATGGCTCACGCCTGTAATCCCAGCACATTGGGAGGCCAAGATGGGAGAATCGCTTGAACCCAAAAGTTCAATACCAGCCTGAGCAACACAGTGAGATCCTGTCTCTAAAGAAATTAGCCAGGTGTGGTGGCACATGCCTATAGTCCCAGCTACTTGGCAGGCTGAGGTGGAAGGATCACCTGTGTCCAGAAGGTTGAGGCTGTGGTGAGCCATAATTGTGCCACTGCACTCCAGCCTGGGCTACAGAGTAAGACGCTGAATTTAAAAAGAAAAAAGAATTTTAATTAGCTAGATTAGCCAGACATGGTACTGTGCGCCTGTAGTCCCAGCATCTTGGAAGTCTGAGATGGAAGGATCACTTGGGTTTGGGAGTTGGAGGATACAGTGAAATTTGATAGCCGGGCTCGGTGGATCGGCCTGTAATCTCGCGCTTTGGGAGGCTGAGGTGAGTGAATTGCCTGGGCAACTTGGCGAGACCTCGTCTCTACAATAAATCAAAAAATTAGCCGGGCTTGGTAGCGTGCACCTGTAATTCTAGCTACTTGGAAGGCTGAAGCAGAAGGATCACCAGAGCCCAGCAGGCTAAGGCTGCGGTGGCCAGGAGCGGCCACTGTACTCCAGTCTGGGTGACAGAGTGTGACTCCCAACTCAAAAAAAAAAAGAAAAAAGAAATATGATTGTGCTACTGCACTCCCACCTGGGCGACGGAGCAAGCTGCTGTCTCTAAAAAATAAAGATAAAACACCCAGTGGGCTCTTCCATATCTCTAAAAAATAAATAAAGATAAAACACTCAGGCTGAGCTCAGTGGCTCAGCCTGTAATTCCAGCACTTTGGGAGGCCGAGGCAAGTGGACTGCCTGAGTCCGCGGGTTCAAGACCCACCTGGGCAACTTCATCTCTATAATAAATTTTTTAAAAAATTAGCTGGGCATGGTAGCGTGTGCCTGTAGCTCCGGCTACTTGGAAGGCTGAGGCGGAAGGATCGCTGGAGCCCAGCAGGTTGAGGCTGTGGTGGCCAGGAGCGTGCCATTGCACTCCAGTCCAGGCGATAGTGAGACTCCAACTCCCCCAGTGGGGGCTCCTCCATGCTCCCTTCCCTTCCCTAAGAGCTGGACACAGGTACCTGTGATCCAGCAATGGCAGTACCCAAGAGGAGGGTGAGGCAAGAAGCAGAAATGAACCTAAATCCCTGAATGACCTCATGGATCCAAGCCACAGTGAAAAATAAATGTCTGTGTTTTTGTAGCTACCAGAGCTTGAGGTCTTTTTGTCACAGCAGCTGAACCTCTACCCTCACGGCCTCATACTCCTTGGCTCCAGCAGAGTTAAGGCCATCCAGTGCCCACCTGGGAAAGGAGAGGTGATTCTGTGCCAATAACACACCCAGCCAGGCTGTCTGACTGCTTTCATTTTTTATTTTCAAGTATAAAGGCTTCATCGCAGAAGGGGGTAGGGTCACAGGCAGTGGGCAAGGGTCCGGAAGCCCAGGTGTAGGTGGACATGCAGGCCAGCGGGCTCCCAGGTGCCACGGCCAGTCCAGTGGCACCTCATGGGCGCCTGGGACCCGTTGCTGGATGCCAAGAGGCCGAGGTAGCTGTGAGGAGCTGGGTGTGGGGCGGAGGCGCGGGCTCACATGACCGCACAACACTGGCACGTCTTCTGCTTGGGGCCGCTTGCCTCCCCGCCACCAGTAGGGGCAGAGGGCTCTGGCTGCCGGGCAGGTGCATAGGTGGGCACAGAGCGGGCACGGGAGTTGGCGCCAGGTCCCTCTGCCTGAAGCAGTGGCTGGCACTCGGCAGGCTGCTCCGGGGCTGGGGTCTCTGCCAGGAGGGGTGTGGCGTCCCCCGAGGGGCCCTGGCCCTCCGCAGGGGCTTGGGGCTTGACTGCCTCCTCCTCCAGGGAGCCTTCTTGCTTCTCCTGGGGCTGCTGGCCTTCCTCCTCTGGCTTGGGCTCCTCATTAGGCCTGAGGGGAGCCCCCGTCTCGCTCACCTCCTCTGCCTGGGACTCTGTTCCCTCTTCGGACTCTTTCTGTTCTTCAGGACTCAGACGCTTTTCAGCCTCCAGGGTCCCCTCGCCTCCTTTCCTGTCGGCCTCCACTTCCTCCTCGCCGCTTTTCCTGTCGGCCTCCACTTCCTCCTCACCTCCTTTCCTGTCGGCCTCTACTTCCTCCTCATCTCCTTCCCTGTCGGCCTCTACTTCCTCCTCACCTCCTTTCCTGTCGGCCTCCACTTCCTCCTCACCTCCTTTTCTGTCGGCCTCCACTTCCTCCTGACCACTTTGCCTGTCGGCCTCCACTTCCTCCTGGCCTCTTTTCCTCTCGGCCTCTGGGGATTCCTGACCTCCTTCCTCGGCCTCCAACCACTGCTCACCCCCCTCGCTCTGGGTCCCCCGTGGCTCCTCGCCCCCCTCTGCCGCCTCCCCAGGCCCGGCGGCCTCGGGCTCCTCCGCGACCCCCGGCTCCCCTGACCCCCGGGGCTCCCCAGCCCCCT